CCCCAGGAATAAGTTCTTCAGAGCGTGGCTCCACCACTGGTTTCTCTCCGGCCGGCCGAGATGAGAAAGCAGCCTCTTTCTGCGGAACAGTTTTAGATGTTTCGACCATTTAGTTTTTGCGGGCAAAGAAGAATGGAGACTGAAGTATTTGGTGTTTTAGGAAGAACAAGCAAAGAAACTCAAAATTTTGAAGATAGGAAGCTTTGAAGAAAGCAAAGAACTATGGAGATTGAATGAAGAAGATTTGAAAGTAAAGTTTGAAATAATTAAGAAGGGGGTTATTTGTCATTTTCACAACGACGGTTCAAAACTGGTAGTGGCCGACCGTCGACTGACGCGCATTAAATACTTGGAAAACTGTACCGACGAGACGTTTCTGTCACTTCTACTGCTTATGTCACGACGATTACGTCATGATCGAAAGCTCAAATCATTTCTTGTCATTACTCTCCAAAAAATGAGGGGACTATCTGTATACGGTCAAAATCGTGCTTACCCGATTTTGTATGGTTAATCGAGACCAGGGTGGAAGACCGAGGTTCAATCCCAAGTTATATTGGATCGTTGCGTGAATAAATATTGCCTAGCTCGTGATTCAGGGATCGATCGAGATCGAGACCAGCTAATGTCGAGACTGAGAAAGATAGGGATCTAGTGAGATCGAAGGAAGCCTGCTAAGTCGAATAACAAAAAACCGAGGAATCCATGACCGGGCGAGGATTGTAGCGGAGATCTCGGCATATATCAAGTCAAGACCGGTTGATTAGCCAATCAGAAGATTTTCTTCTGTATTTAGAATTGTATCATATGTAGAACTCCTCTACTATATAAAAGGGGTTCCAATCATTTTGTAAGGGTAGATTCACGCATAACAAAACAATATATTACGTTTTCTCTCTTAAGCTCTCTTATTCAGTTGTTCAGTTCTTACTTCTCAATAATATACTCAGTTAGTTCAAGGGCGACCTAGCTCGAGGGCCAAAGTTGCGCGTTACATTGGTTTGCTTCATTTTACAGTTAATTTCTAACTTCAATTCTTATATTTCTAAGTTTGTGCCAAATAAAATCACATATCTTTAAAACTACTTACAAATTTAATTGTTATCCAATTTTAAGGGTAAACACACTTAATTATAGTGGTTAATTAATATATATTTTTACCTTAATTTATCACATAATAATAATAAATTAATATGATTTAGTATAAACACCCAATACCAAATCACGTAAAATTATTGTCATGTGACCAGGAAGTCACATGTTGTCGAGCAGTGGAAACAACCTCTTGCAGAAATGAAGTAAGGCTGCGTTCAACAGACCCTTATGGTCTGACTCTTTTCCGAACTCCACGCATGGGCGGAGCTTAAAGCAATAATTGGGTGCGGCATGCGACCCCTCAAATCTAGTAGAGTATCAAATAGCATCAAAATTCGATTGCAGCCACATGATGATTTCTGTTCATTACAACAAGACTTTCAAGTGACAACTAAGATCAGAACGAGAGTATTGACATGCCTCATCATTTGAATTGGCATTTTACCTAATATTGATTTTGCAAGTCTTTTTCTTCTGGCTATTTGCTTCTTCTCACCAAAAATGAAAGCTCCTATTAGCAAAATTATTAAAGGATAATGACTTCCCTTTGCTCCTTAATTAATTGGGATGGACCCAACTTTACCATAAAAAATCTTTCTTAATTTATTACTTCAATTAGAAAAGATTTGTGCCAACTATCAAGCTAATTAAACCTGGATTTGTACACCCCACTCAGATTTGCATTCTCTTGTCAACTAGTTTGTATAATTTTTGGATACAACCTAAACTTATACTACCTTACCAAGGATTGTTTAATTAAAAAACATGTTTAGTCAATTTCTCCATTCGATTATAACCATTTGCGTTTCGTAGGTGTTGTACTATGTTTTTAGATGTTTGTACTCACTTTGGCACAACAATAATAGCCTAAAAAATTATTTTGAGTAAAAGCAGAATCAATTTTAGGAATATACACTTAAAAATACTTTTTAAAAGCTTGACCAAACAATAATTACTCCTCACAAAAAATTTTTTAAAAAAATTACTTTTAAAAAAAAAAATACTTCTCAAAATAATCTTTAATTGATTTCCTAGTAAAATGCAGCGCATCCACTTAAGAATACAAAAGGCCCAAAACAGTCCACTATTGTTGGATTTAAGTTTAAAATAGTCCTATTCTTCTTAAATGGAGCACTAATAGTTCATATTTTTAACAAAGTGGTGCAGTTTCAGTCCAAAAACCAAACGACCGGTGTTATTTTCTTACAAAAGGAATCTTTGTTCCTCTCCTTCAGTTTCAGTCCTGTCTGCATCTTTGAACAAAAAAAGATTGACATTGTTCCCTTCTTTTCCCCCAATTTTTCAGAACCCTAACGTACAAATTGGGGAGATCTAAGGGGGAAATAGGAAGCGAAACATAGAGTTTTTGTCGAAGAGAGCGAAATCTTGTTACAACAATTGTGTGGAATCTTTCTCCAGGTAACCATACTTAGAAGAGAGCCATTTTTTTTTTTTTTTGTTGTGAATCCCTAATTGTATAACCATTAATCGCAAAAGCTGAAAATTTGAGGTTCTACAGCAATCAAGAGAGAGCAAAGATGAATTCAATGGTGGCTTTAGGGAAGAAATTGACGAAAAATATTCAAGATCATAAACTTGTTTGAATTTTAATTTGAATTCTGCAGATGGGGTTGTGTAGTTAAGCCACTGTTACTGTTACCTCTGACCAAAAGTTGTTTGCTGAAATGTCTTGCTGGGCATTTTAATCCTCTGTTGGTTATTTTCTGTTGAACTTTTCCTGAAAATTGCTGCACTCGAGAATTGCAGCTTTCATATTTGATAGTACTTTGAGACTGTAATGTATCGTGTGACTCATCCCACTCTATGGTAGCATGCGATAGGTAAAATTAATCTTCTTGGTATAGGTTCTTTTTTGAAGAATTAACCTAAATAGCTACCCACCTAACCGCTTAAACTGAAAACAGCCGGCGGATGTATAATATATGTATAATATGTATGTAACCGTATGTAATTAGTGTATAATCTGTGGGTACCAGTTAGGAAAAGTAAACATTGAATCCTGCATGCTGTTTATGTAAAGATCCCTTCTTTTTGGTATATTTGCCCTTTAGTTGCTATAGGTTCTTTTTTGGTATCCAGATTAAGGGTGAGAGTCTACTTGGGACAGATCTTCTAAGGAAAAAAAAATTGGATAGCCAGAGCTTAGACCAAATAATGTTACCGTCCTAGCATTGGAGTATGAAGATTAAGGTCGGTTGGCATTCAATATGTTGTTTTCTTCTAAGCTTTCTAACCTTTGATAGTTTGCTGCAGGTTCATGGAGTAGACTTACCAATACTGGGCGAAATTGATTCCGGTTTAGACTAAGTTGTGGAAGAGTAAAGGACGGAGACAGATATAAGTTTTTAAATAAGGGATTAAGATGATGGAAGGACTATAACTAATAAGACGCACACTCTTAACTCCTCTACCCGCACCTCCTACCCAAAGAAAGCAGGACACCTAAGAGGATCAATCAAAAGAAGCAAGAAATGGGGGTAAGCAGGAGGAGGCTGCTGGTTTCAGATTTCATCATGTCCTTCATGTGGGTCTGGTCAAGTGTGCTTATCAAGATGTTTGTTCACACAATGTTGGGTTATGGGGCTCATGATCTCAAAGGTGAAATCCTCAAACATTCAATATCTGTCATCAATATGTTCTTCTTTGCCTTCTTGGCGAAAGCTACCAAGGGTGGGGCCTACAACCCTCTCACTATCTTGTCCGGTGCCATCTCCGGGGATCTCTCCAATTTCCTCTTCACTGTCGGTGCCAGAATCCCTGCTCAAGTCTTTGGTTCAATTACTGGGGTTAGGCTCATCATTGCAGCATTTCCAAACATAGGACGAGGACCTCGTTTGACCATTGACATCCACCGAGGTGCACTGATTGAAGGGTGCTTGACATTTGCGATTGTTACCATTTCACTTGGACTTTCCAGAAGAAGTCGTGCGAGTACCTTAATGAAGACGTGGATATCCAGTCTGTCCAAGCTGACACTTCACATACTTGGTTCTGATCTAACAGGGGGCTGCATGAATCCAGCCTCTGTGATGGGATGGGCTTATGCGCGTGGGGATCATATAACCAAGGAGCACATACATGTTTATTGGCTTGCTCCAATACAGGCAACTTTGCTGGCTGTGTGGACTTTCAACTTGCTAGTTTCCCCCCCAAAGGACGAAAGGGAGAAGATGATAGAGAAAAAGTCAGAATGAAGGAGATTCCTAAATTATTGGCGATCGTACAGTTTGGATTATGTATTATGTCTTTCTCCAGTATGATTGCATGAACTTAATTTTCTGTTTTTAACTAAACACGTATAATGTTCAGTTAAGGGATGTACGTTTTGTCTCAATGTTGTAGCCTCTCAAGAGCGATTGAGAATCTCGAGAACCTTTCCAAATGCCTGTCTTCACGGGGCGATTTGCAAAGAGAGGAGTATTTAATTCTTTTACTACCTTTCGTTCCACTATTCTGATTGAAGTAATTGCTCTTCTGAACGACCAAGTCATAATGAGATTAAAAACGAATGCTTCCTTGGCCGCGTGAAACATGGATATTAGCATTATATCATTCCTACAAGTGATGACCCACCCAAAATTGCTATGTAAAAACATAGAGATGAAATATAAATTTTTTTTTCGTTCCTCGTGAGCCACTTAATCCCCCCTCCCCCCCCCAAAAAAAAGTGTCAACCTAACACCTGTAAAAATTAAATCATTGCTCAAATAAAGAATGAGAAATAAGAGATATAAGAACAAGCACTACCTTATTTTCTTGAAATAATTAACAGTGCATCCTATTCTTGAATATATTGAACTTTGAAGCTAATACAATTCGGGAGTAAATTAATAAGAGCTGGCATTTGTTATGAACCAACATCAACTGATGCTTGAGCCTACTATACTTCTGTACACTTCAAAATCATGAGGGAAATGACAAAAGAAGAAAAATTACAAACAGAAAAAGTAAGTACAAAGATCATGGGAAGATGATGAAGGAGAAAAACTAAAAACAGAAAGAAGAGAAAAATTAATAATAAACAAGTACAAATATCTTTCTGTGTCAGCAGACTTTTGTTGGGTCCCTAAATCCGATGTTAAAATTATTAGGCAACCGTCTGTTGCCCAAATTTGCATTTCCTTTCTGCATCATCGCCACAAACTCTTTATAATCTATCCGGCCATCCTGAAATGTAAGAACAGATAATTCAACAAGATGTAGTGATAAGAAAGAACGAAAAGCATCACTCTAAAAGACACGGACCACTGGAAAAGATTCAAATTGTGTTGCTATATACATTTTGATACTGTCGCGTACATGTTTGAGTATAGCTGCATACGCGTTTTGACCACAAAATGTGTCCTGAATGTGTCAATGTGGTTGTGAGAGACATGAGAGTTGCGTTGACATAAATGTTATATAGCCTACCATTACTTTCATGCATTACTAAGTATATTTGGAATAGAGAAATGCCAGTAGAACTACGTACATTGTCTTGATCAACTTCTTGAATGATTTCATCCAAGCGGACATCCTTTATGCCAAATTCCTCACAAGCCTTTTGAATTTCATCTGCAGTAATATACCCACTCCCATCTTTGTCAAAATATGAAAAAGCAGCAGAAAGATAATCTTCTTTCTCAGCTTTGTTGACATGAAGCATTGCAGCTACGAATTCCCCATAGTCAATGGTACCACTGTTGTCAACGTCCGCCTGCGTTTTTTGGAAGAAAATTTGAAGTTAGACAAAAAGAAAGAAGTATAAAATTATCTAATGAAGAATGTCTTCACACAACACATAGCAGTTGCTTAGCACAAATTCTTAGACAAATAGTATGGCTTAGCTGCTCATAACGAGAGCATAATTTCTAAAGGACAAACAGGTCCACAGATATTAAACTTCTCAAGGCACAAAAGCTTTGTTTAAGTGACAATCCAACAGTGCTACTAATAAAGAGTATTATGTACTCAGTAGCTCAATGAAATAACCAAATGCAGTAACTGTAGCTTTTTCCAATTGACTTAGAATTCTTAGGTACTCGCAACAAGCAAATTGTGTGACAGAAATTTGACTGCACGGTGGCATTTTGGATACTTTTATGTAACTAACAGGCGCTAGCAATTTCATAGAGAGATACATTGCATGATTGCCATGATAACAACAAACTACGGCTATAACTTGTCACACAATTGCAGAAGTACTAAAGAATTTCACTACTGATATATTTCGTTGAAATTAAATTTGCAAAGGAGTTAGGAAAGAAGAACAACTGCAGATCAGTTCTTCTCTCTTGGTTGGTGATCTAAAGGTTGTCCGGTGGAATTGATTTGATGGCACCTACTAGAAAGAACTAGAAACCTGGTGGGCAAACATTTTCCAGTTACAAGAAAAACAAATTGCTCATTTTTCCTTTAAAGGCTTCTTTGTACCACAGCTAGACAAAAATGCTCCTTCCTCCAAACTAGACATCATTTTAACAGTATTTGACTCTGAAAGACAGATACATACAGTTAATAAAAGGGTATTTTACAGATTTATTATAGAGCAAAGGTCAGAAGTTAGTAGAAAGAAAATGTACAAGATGAAAAGGATTAAGTATTTAAGCAATTTGCAGTGAGTTCTCAAAGCCCATATCTGAAGGATTCAGTCCCATCTTTACAATCATCACACAGACAGAAAAGAAAGCAGATAAATAAAGGATCTAATTTCAGCCTAATTTTGACGATTTTCATGGTTAGATGGAGACTTTGTCACTGGAATTATTTAAACCCTGTGTGAGTAAAGTAAATGATTTCTTTGATTGTCCACATGGCATTTAATACTGAATAGTTATGGAAGACTAAAAGTCCAAAACCTACCGCCTTCATCAAGTCTTGTATCTCAGTCTCACTAAGATCAGCCCCAAATTGCTTTAGTCCAATCTTCAGTTCATCTAAAGTAATATGTCCACTGTTATCTGTGTCAATCATTTTGAACATCTCTTTCAAGCCTGCAATTTCCTCTTCAGAAAGACTCTCAGCAATAACCTGTATGATACAAATAGATTTTTGTCATTGGAAGAAACAAGACACCTTTTGATTCTTGAACTAGATTAACTTTTCGTGCGTGTGTTGGGAGCTATAAAAATTTAACTGCAATTTCAAGTTTAAAAATTGGCTTTTTTTTCCCTTCCTTTTCTTGGGGTGGAGGAGGAGGGAGGAGGGAGGAGGGAGGAGGTTAACAGCCACTTTTAGTGGTNAGAAAGACTCTCAGCAATAACCTGTATGATACAAATAGATTTTTGTCATTGGAAGAAACAAGACACCTTTTGATTCTTGAACTAGATTAACTTTTCATGCGTGTGTTGGGAGCTATAAGAATTTAACTGCAATTTTAAGTTTAAAAATTGGCTCTTTTTTTTCCCTTCCTTTTCTTGGGGTGAGGGAGGAGGGAGGAGGTTAACGGCCACTTTTAGTGGTCAATCCCATTGAAACTATAATTCGTTTACTAATATCTTACCATGAGAGCCATTTTCTTAAGCTTGTTCATGGCAGAAAACTGTGTTAAGCGACTCAATACTGCAGAATCAAGAGGCTTATCTGGAGCCACACCATCAATCTTCACCCAGGGATGGCCTGCAAAACGGAAAAGAAGAATAATATGCCCCCGAATCTAGAAAGTGCAATGACAAAGCAATCCTCCTATGTCGGTAACCCCTTGATGGAGAGGTATCACATGTTGGAAATTAAAAGGCAAATACGGACAAATATAGACAATCTAACTTGAGAAGAAGTAGAACCAAAACCATCTCCATAGAAAGACTTCCCTTTTCTCTGAATTGACTTAAAAAGAATATTATTTCCCTACACGTGCTCTATCAAGATCAACTTGCAGAAGATGAACAGCTAGCATAACAAAATTCCCAATTCTACACCAGACGCAGATACATTTTTCTGATTGTGATATTCTTTTAGGCAAATATGTTTGAAATTCTAGGTGAACTTAAAAATACAAAGTAACTAAGGACTCACATAGATCAACAAAACACCAAAAAGACATTACGATTTCACCATATTCTCTCAGCTGCTAAGCAAAATGGTTCTCACAGCATCTCTAAGCATAAGATATGAAAGGCTGGATTTTAAATATGAAGTTGAAATCAACGACTACTCACATAGAACTTCATGTGCGGTAAGTCGCTCTCTGGGGTCCCTAACAAGCATTCTCCTTTCCAGATCTTTTGCATCTTCAGAAATGTTAGGCCAAGGATCTGATATGAAGTCAATATCGGCACGTAAAACCTCGTCGAATATTTCCTGCTCACTTTCTATCCAAATAATGAATGAAGTAAACATGAGAAGCTGTTTTTGGTACTTCACATAACCAGGAAACCATGGAAAAACGACAAAAACTGTAATCCATTAAACTTGAAAAGATCAACTTACCACCCCAAAATGGAGGTACACCAGTGAGAAGAATGTAAATTATTACACCTGCACTCCAGATATCAGCCTCCTGACCATATCGCTTAAGCAGAACTTCTGGAGCAACATAATAAGGGCTTCCAACAATATCAGAGAATATTTGCCCTGTGATTAAGAACATAACCCAATCAACTAGGTAATTTAAAAGCAAAAGCACATCAACAAAGAAGACAGGTGCACGCTAGAAAGCACATGTTATTAAGAGAGTATATAGAATAACTGATGCTAAGGATATTTTCCATATAAGATGATGAACATCATATTAAGGACATGATAACCCTTCTAATTAATACAATTCTTACGAAATATTAAGGTCAATAATAACCCTTCAAATTAATAGAACTTCTGCGAAATCAGAAGCGGCATCGCTTTTCCGACCTAAGAGTAATAAAAAAGAATGGGTTCTCAATATAAACTAGCAGATATAGATACGCAATGCTATTGACTTCACAAACAAATAAGTTTGGAGCTTTCAAGGCTTTGGACAAGGAAAGACTTCCATCTATCCATATCAAGGGGACGACTTTCACTTTAAAAAAAAAAAAAATGTAATGCCTAAATGTTTTGGACCAAAAAATTAAAAATAGGAGCTGGTTTCTAGAATTCCTATCAAGTAATTACTACTACAAAGGCACCTGCAGATGGCCTGTTGAAATTGAATACTTGCTAAAAACAAATCAAATTCTTTCAAATCCTAGATTCCCAACAATTATTCTACCAGATCCTCAAATAATGTTCAAAGATTCCTAAAATATTGCTCTCATTTTGCACCTCATTTTTTTTGGTAACCAAGAACCCCGAGGGCCAGTGGCACACGGTTCGAAACTCACAGGGAATGGAGCCATCTCTCTACCCTTCTCCACTTAAATACCAGACTTCGGTTTGTAGCAGAGTTCGAACCCGTGATGTTGCTTAAAGTAGCATATCTAATCATGTTTTCTTTGCATGTATCAAAGTACTTGTAGGTGAAGCTGTTTTAACTACATCTCGGATTTGTAACTCCTGCTTTGAAGTATATACACAACCACATTGTTTGGAAAGAATTTTTCGCCCTTATGCTTACACTATTTACCTTAACATATCCAATATGTTTCAGTCAAAACTAGAGTCCAAAAGCTGAAAAGTGTTTTCATTGGCTAATGGCTATGCCCCAATAAACAAGGGTACAATTGTTTCACTCCTTCCGCAGAAAAGGTTCATGCATCTTAATAAGCGGATTAGAGTAAATAAGCTCTAGTGTTGTCAAAAACCTTGTATTTGTTTTCTCTTTAGTATCTAGCAAATGTTCTGTGGATTCCTCAAGGATAACCTCTTGCTTTTTAACGAATCCATCGACACTATATTTGAGAAAATTAAGTTTGGTGTTATAACAAGACCCTGCTCTCGATTCAATTGCTCATAAAAAATGAGCAAAGGTTGTCAATAGATAACTACAGAAGCATATTGCTTATCAAGTAGGCAAATAGAAATACCAACTACTTAACCTTATTACTTCTATAATACCAAAGTTTCTACTTCTTCGTTTGATACGATAAAACCCGCCCTCCTGAACTTTCCTACCTAGGATCCCAACAGAGTCTTCAACCCACTTTGCTCCCTTTGGTAAACGGAACACCCAACCTCATGGTTGGAGGTGGAGGGTCCTTACCGATAGGCTATCCCTCCCTTGTCGGGTACCATAGAAAACAAGTTTTTCTTATGCATACAAACCACTAAAAATAATTCAAAGAAATAGAGAAAGAGGGGAAGACCAAAATATATAGGAAGTAAATGGAAGAATTTGGAGAAAGTGGAAAAATACCTGGCTTGAAAAACGTTGATAGCCCGAAATCTATAATCTTTAGAGGTGAATCCTCTTCCTCATTGACAAAGAGAAAATTCTCAGGCTTAAGGTCCAAGTGCAACACTCCTAGAGAATGGCAGGCTTCTATTACACTAACTATTGTCCTTGAAAGCTCAGCCGCTTTTCTCTCGGAATAATGTCCCTGCTTAACAATTCTATCGAAGAGCTCACCCCCTGTACATAATTCCATCACAACATGAACTGCAACAGCATCCTCATACGCTGCTTTTATTGAAATGACGTTAGGATGTCCAGATAAGTGATGCAATATCTGAATTTCTCTCCTTACATCTTCCACATCTTCAGGCGTCAATAATTTCCTCTTCGCAATAGACTTACAAGCATACTTTTCCCCTGTTGCTTTTTCAACACAGAGGAATGTGGTCCCGAATTGCCCATGTCCAAGTTTCTCCCCCAAATCATAATGCTCCTTCAGAAGACCGGTTTTTGTTTTCAACACCGACTCAACCTGGAGTCCTGCACTAAGCATTCTCTTGACGTGATGTGGCTTCTTCGGTTTCGCGGGCTCTTTTGGTTTTGCCTTTTCATGGATTGTGTTGCCAAAATTTTCAGGTCCCGTTGCTACTGTAGGTTTCGAATCAACTGACATCTTCTCAGGTTTAACTACCTGAGCGTCTATCTTCTGTTCCTTCACTTTAATAGCCTGCTCAGGCCCTTTTGTATCAGATAGTTTACTCTCTTCTCTGTCTATCTTCACCAATTCTGGGGGTTGATTCTGAAAAGAGTTAGGACGTTCGGGCTGTTTGTCTGTAGAAGGTTCTTCAATAGCCTTTTCTTTTTTCTTATTTGTGATCATATTCGGTGATCGAGACCGCCAAAAGAATAAGTTGAAGAACCCATCCTTTGAAAACTTTGCATGAACACAATTATTTCCCATCTATCACTATGCTCCTCTCCACCAATATCTGTTACTACTATACACATCTGAATTCAAATATCAAGCCAAAATTTAACCCCTCAAAATGGAATGAAATTTGAAGCATTTGAAGCAGTCAACCACCCTCTTCCGATGCATGACCTTTTCAACTGCAGATAACAGTTGTTACTGTCAAAATCAGCATATTCTTCAAACTAATCTAGAGACAAGACCTTTGACCATTAAATTTCCAACCCTTACAAGTAAAATAATCCAATGTACACCTCTAAACAATTTCTAAAAGGGAAAAAAGAAAAAAGAAAAAAGGACCCCGTTTGAATATACATGACTCTCCAACAGTTTTCCCACTTCCCACGTTATAAAATTTCAACAGACAGTTAAACAAAAATCATATAACAACAACAATTACTATCCCTCAATCCCAAACTAGTTAAGCAAAAACCCGTACTCCTTTCATTTCAGTTTCTGTGAACCTCTTCGGAGTATGAAGGTCAAACTTACTATTTTCGGTGTGAATTCCGACATAGAATTTTCAAATTTTGAGAAATAAAATTACATATTTAGAAACTACATAAAAGTACTATAAGTCACAATAGTTAACGATTCAAAATATTTAAAAAGAATTTGCAAAAAATATGGTAAAAGAAAACCTTATTTGACTCCCCAAGTAGTAATAGGTTCACATAAATTGAAATGGTTGGAATAATTGAAAAGCACTCAAGGCTGTCGTCTAGTGGTCAATAGAGAACCATGAGGTTCAGGTTCAAATCCCAATTGAGGCAAAACATACTAGGTGATTTCTCCTCTCTGTCTGGCCTTGGTGGACAAAGTTACCCGGTGGCTGTGGGGTGGGAGCTAGTAGGTAATACCCTCATTTTAAAAAAAAGCTCGTAATTTGAAAAGAAAGTAGAAAAACAATATTAAGAAACAGAGAACTTACAAGGGAAAATAAGTTTCGAGACCCTCAACTTTGGGTTTCCAGGAGAAATTAAGTGGCTATGTTGAGGAATTGAATATGAAATTCTCAAACCCAAATGAGTAATTAAGGAGGGGAAAAAACAGCATAAGCAATTGAGAAATGGAAGGAGAAAGGGACCGCCGTCCAAGAATTGTAATAATAATTGTACGTGAAACTGAAGAGATTAACGACTTATCAGCTAAGTTTGTGTTTCAATTTCAATGTGTGTATGTAAATGTTTACCAAGATTCTCTTTGGGAATGAAGCTTGTTGGATTAGGGTTTTGGATTTGAATGTCTCTCTATTTTTGTTGAAATTTAGGAGAGAAAAGCCGAGGGACAGGGGAAGGCGAGAAGCGACAGGTTTTTCAGTTATAATGTTTGAGGGAAAGCTATTCCGATTACAACAATTGCCCCTCAGCTTGTGTAATTACAAAAGATTCCTCTCTTTCTTTTAATTTATGGAACTTCGCATATTAAAAAATAATAAATCAAATACAATATTAATATTGAAATTAAACAATAAGGAAAAGAATAATATTGCAAGGAAAAGAGAGAGGTAATTCTTATTGTATTTCAGATGATTTATAATGGGAGTAAAGCCCCTCTATTTATAGGGGGGAAAATGACTTAGCCACAAAGTAACAAACTATCTAAAAGATAGACGTTCACTCTAAATACAATTCTATTGATAACACTCCCCCTTGAGTGTCTACTCAATAGATAATGTGCCTCGCTAAAATCTTAACTAAAATAAAACCCAGTGGGAAAAATTTTTTAGAGAAGGAAAAGAGTACACATGTTTAGAAATACGACTTTTGGTTGGCTCGTTAAAAACCTTGCAAGGAAAACCCAGTGGGATAAAACCTTGTAAGGAAAAAAGAGTACAACGTGTATTAACACCCCCTGATGAGAGCATCAATTCATATCCTTGAGCCTTCGCATCTTAATCTTGTACACTAGTTTCTTGAAGGTCGACGTTTGTAGAGATTTTGTGAACAAATCAACCATATTATCATTTGAACGAATCTGTTGCACATTGATATCACCATTCTTTTGAAGCTCATGTGTGAAAAATAACTTCGGTGAAATGTGTTTTGTCCTATCCTTTTATGAATCCTCCATTCAATAGGGCTATGCATGATGCATTATTTTCATACAAAATCGTGAGTAGTTTATCACATTTCAAACCACATTTGTCTCGAATAAGATGTATTATAGACCTCAACCACACACATTCTCGACTTGCTTCATGAATAACAATTATCTCGGTGGAAAAAAGGCATTGGGCAAATATTTGTCGTACACCAAGACATTTGGCTGAGCTTTATCAAGCATCTCTAAAGAATAAAGGCCCTAAAGCTAATTTTGTCTATGATAATGAATTTGACAATGAATTTTGTCTAAAGACTTCTTTGAGCACCCTAATAGGAAAATAAACCACTTGATCAGTGATTGATCCGTGGTTAAAGATGATTGAGTAGTTTGATTTTTATTTTTGCCTATTCGTAGTAGCTAGTGAGTAAACATCATGTAATCATAGTTCTTTACATGAGCAGTAGTGTCACACCCCTTGGGGGCGCGACCAGCACTCAACCGAGATACCCCGATTAAGCAAGCCTGCTAGATGCCTTCTACCCAACCTTGCCCATTAACAACATAAGAATCAGTATAAGTGATAGACATGAGAAGATTCAAGTGTCCCACACTCTTTTTCCATTACTAAAGGATATTCATTTATGATTTCAAAATATTACAAATTTATAGATATGATGAAAAATATGTTTTCCCAAATACCAATACTTACTAGTTTAATTTCCAACATCAAACACCATCCACAACCTGTCTACGGAACCTCTAAGTACAACAGAAGAGTAGTATGGAAGTGACGGCGATAAGGCCCCGGCTATACCTCAAAACATAAAGTACAACGTCAAATGACATGAAGCCCAGAACATAGTTGGGCTCACCAAAATCTGCTGAACAGAGAGTAACTGCTAACGAAGATCAAAACCGCCCGCTAACGAACCACCTGCATCCATTGAAGATGCAGCGCCCCCGGCAAAAAGGGACGTTAGTACATATGGAATAGTACCAGTATGTAAAGCTAAATATCCTCTTCCAGAATAGAATGCCAATATAATAAAGGAAAAAATCATGGAAGCAACAACAATAACCAATAATATCCAAAGGCCAAGTTAAAACATAATAGTTTTCAAAACATGATAGTAACATGATTTTTGGTTGAGAGATCCCTTGTAACAACCTCTACACAAAGCGTACCCGCCGCATCACCCCAATGTGTGTGGGTGGATTTGTAATTTTAATACCACATTCTCTACACAAAATGTCCCTGCCACCTCACCCCAATGTGTGTGGGTGGAGGTGTAATTTTAATACCACATTCTCTACACAAAGCAGCCTTGCCGCCTCACCCCAATGTGTACGGGTGAAGGTGTATTCACATTCACAATCACAATCCCTACACAAAGCGGCCTGGCCACCTCACCCCAATGTATGCGGGTGGAGGTGTATTCACAATCACAAATCCTACACAAAGCGGCCCTGCCGCCTCACCCCAATGTATGCGGGTGAAAGTGTATTCACAATCACAAACCCTACACAAAGCGGCCCTGCCGCCTCACCCCAATGTATGCGGATGAAGGTATATTTCGGGGTTAAGTTATGTCAACCTACCCTTCCTCGGTGACTAACGATACTCCCGAAAAAAAATATTTTTGATTTTCATACAAGGGAAACAGAAATACAATTGCATTTACCTCATAACCTTTCACACCATTTATAGCCTCATTGGCACTTTCAACCACTTACAACATCATTATTTCATTGGCTCTTTTGGCCATACATATGATTCTTCATTCATGGTTAAATGGCCGTATTTCATATTCCACACTTTAATTTCTTTCCTTTCATGGATCATCAACATAAATATCAACAAATAGAATATTCCGGAAATTACTACTTTAGGTTCATTAGTAATGAAGACTTTAAACACAATGGATTTCTTTCCAAAAAATGGAGTAAAATGATTGGCAATCGAAGCACAAGTTAAAATCATAAACGTGTAACACATCATTTATTATTGAAATACTTTCTCCCCAAAGGGCAATACACAATTTTAACTCATGGATATATAAGAGCTCAAAACACGTTGGAAATACTTACAAAGTATAGCATTAGTTGAAACAACCACATTTGGGCACGACTTGAGTACATAAGCTTTTAGCCAAATCTATTTTCGAAGTCAATTTGGAACAATTGAATCAAGGCTCATTTCTTAACCTTTCTCACATCATTTCATTTTCTTGGCACTGATAAGTGGGGGTTTTGACTACTTCTTAGCAAATTTTTGCTTTCGTTTTAGTCCAAAAGCGTTTAATTGTGTTTCCGAAAACTGATAAAATATGCTTAATTGCAGGAATAGTGGAAAATGATCCCCCAAGATGAAATCCAACTCAAGAAGGAGTGATCTGAACTCAAGGACACAAACAGTCACAGATGCTCAGAAGTGTGATCCGCAGATTATGAAGAAACTCCTATCAGAGACAAGTGCAAAGTGCGGTTCGCACATGACATGTGCGACCGCAGAACCTGGGCAAGAGCAAAAGTTCAGAGAACTTGCATCTCAAATTCAACAGAAGTGCGGACCGCACAATTATTGTGCGTCCGCAAAAGAACAGCTACGCGGCCGCAATCACATTTGTGCGGACCGCAAAAAGAGAGAAGTGCGACTTCAGTTCAGCATTATGCGGCCGCAGGTTTCCATTCTTGTCAGGCTAAAGCAAAGTGCGGACCACACATGGAATTGTGCGGCCGCAGAACCTCCGAAAGGGTATTTTTGTCCAAAAATTCTAGCACTGTATAAATAGAATAGTTTTACTTTTTAGGTCAAGTTTTGACATCAGCAGCTACAGTGGACGTTTTCTTTTACTCTTTTTAGTAGTTTTTGCTATTTTGAGCTTTTTGGATATTGATTTCATCATTTTAATTATCAATATGGGTTTAATTATCACTTCTTCTTCTTTTTCTTCCAATCTAAGCATGAGTAGCTAGATTTTCACTAGGGTTGTGACCCAATCCTAGTGTGTAAACTTAATGGGTATTTGATTTATTGCTTGTTTATGGTTGGGTGTTGATTATCTAGCCTAGTTCTTGCTTTTATGTGAAGAATTAATGGTTGCAAACATTATTTCATGCCTATTTGACTTGGTCTCTACTTGAGAAAGAGAGACTTAGTCTAGAAAACTTGGCTAGCAAGAAATTGGGTCAATCGAGAGATTGATAAGCCCAATTAAAGGGTTGAACCTAGAGATAGTAAAACCCAACTTGAGCTTATCATCAACTATTTTGTTCAATACTCATTTGGACTTGAGAAATCCAAATTGGGCAAAATCACTCTCTAACCGAGAGGTATTGAGTGGGTACTTGGGTGTTGATAGCTATAATACACCCCGACCAATAAAACAAGCTTTAAAGTTTACAACCCATTAGGCGAACACCTAGGTGAAGGTCATAGCCCTAGGCCTTTCATATCATTTGAAAAACAAACAAAAACACTTTCCTAGGTTAAATTCTTAATTTGTAGTCTTTGTTTAAATTAGACCTAGAAACAACCCAAGTTTGTGAAAGTGCAATTTGAGATAATCCAAGCTCATACACTATAATATATATCCCTAAGACCCATTCATATCCCCCTATGAAAAATCGACCCCGACTCCTTGTTGGGTATTACTATTGCATCGACCGTTTTCATATCCTCAAATAGAGGAGTGAAATTAGATGAGACCAATTTTTGGCGCCGTTGCCGGGAAGCTAAAAGACGGTGTTAGCTACATATTTAGGTGTGTTTTTGGAATATCTTCTTTTCCTTCCTTGTTACTAATGTGTGAGTATTGTAGGTATAATCATGGCTAACAATGAGCTAGGAAACATAGCCGTGGGGGATGTGGATGTTGATGATGATGCAATGGATGAGGTCCCTTTTAAACCTCAAGCCAATAGACGAAGCCGACCGCCTCAAGATAATATTCCCGTTCCACCCCCACCTCCACCACGAGCGGCTCCACACTGGGTGTTGCCGAATGAAGAGTATGCAAGTGCTATAGTCCCACCCCGTATTAGGGCAGGCAACTTTCAAATAACCAATGTGATGCTCACTTTGCTCGAGCAACGAGGATTCTTCACCGGTGCACTGGGTCAAAATGCATATAAACATTTGAAGGGGTTCATTGATACGTGTTGGGGAAGCAAACAAACAAATGTCTCCGAGGATGCTTTGAGGCTAAGGCTTTTTCCCTTCTCTCTATGGGGGGGGGGGAAAGCTTTAGGTTAGTTGAAACGTTTGCCAACT